CCAGTGAAAGAGCAGGTTAATGCAGCAATTACTACAGCGGATAAAGCAATGCTGTGGCATAGTCGTATGGGTCATATGAGTGCAAAAGGCTTACAGGTTTTGGTCAAGAAGGAGTTACTCAAAGATATTAACATTGAAGACCTAATACAGTGTGAATTTTGCATCCTTGGGAAATCCCATAAGTTGTCATATAAGATTGGGAAGCATACTTCAAAAGTTCAGTTGGAGTATGTTCATTCTGATCTTTGGGGCTCACCAAATGTTACACCTAGTCTATCTAAGTGTCAGTACTACATCTCGTTTGTTGACGACTTCTCAAGAAAGGTTTGGTTGTATTTTCTCAGAACTAAAGACGAGGCTTTCAACAAGTTCGTGGAATGGAAAACGTTTGTGGAGAATCAAAGTGGGAAGAAGTTACAGGCATTAAGGACCGACAATGGTCTAGAATATTGCAATAAGATATTTGATGATCATTGTAAGGTTCATGGAATTATGAGGCATAAATCATGCCCCTACACTCCACAACAGAATGGAGTTGCTGAGAGGTTAAATAGAACTATACTTGAGAAGGTTCGTAGTCTACTAAGTGAGACAGGTTTGGGTGAAGCATTTTGGGCAGAGGCTGCATCAACAGTGGTATACATGATAAATAGGTCTCCATCCACTCCTCTGAACTTTGAAGTGCCATAACAAATTTGGACAGGGTCGAAACCTGACTATAAGCATATGAGGAGGTTTGGCTGTTTAGTGTACTATCACGTGGATCAAGGGAAATTGAAACCGAGGGCAAAGAAAGGTGTATTCATGGGATATCCTCAAGGAGTTAAAGGATATCGGATTTGGAGTTATGATGAGAAGAAATGTGTTATCAGTCGAGATGTTGTCTTCTGGGAAGATACTTTGTTCAAAGATATTGACAAGAAGCATGTTGCTAACAATAAAGAAGGAGAAGTGAAAGTGAAAGGAAAGGAGAAAGTTTCCTTCCCGGTTATTGATAGCAAAAGTGAAGAGGATACTCTGCAAGGTGGAGCTACTTCAGGTGAAGGTGGAGTAGTTTCAGATGAGGAGATAGACAAAAATTCAGAAGAATCAGATGATTCTCCTCCAAGTCCAGACAGCTATCTACTTGCAAGAGATAGAGAAAGAAGGGTAAACATCAAACCACCAAGTAGATATGATGATTCAGATGTTGCGGCCTATGCACTACATGTAGCTGAGTTAATGGAGGTTGAAGAACCAAGGACTTTTAAGGAAGCTATGAATGGTAAAAACAAAGAAGAATGGTTGGGTGCAACAGATGAGGAGATGTTATCTCTTGAAAAGAATTACACTTGGAAGTTGATTGATAGGCCTGTAGGACAAAGAACAATCGGGTGCAAGTGGGTATTCAAATTGAAACCAGGTATTCCAGGTATTGAGAAGCCAAGGTTTAAAGCACGGTTAGTGGCAAAGGGGTTTTCTCAGATTGAAGGGATTGATTATAATGAAGTGTTTTCTCCTGTGGTAAACCATACAACGATTAGACTGTTCTTATCTATGGTGGTAAATTTGGATCTTGAGTTGGAACAGTTGGATGTCAAAACGGCTTTTCTACATGGAGATTGGATGAAAGAATCCTTATGGAACAGCCCGAAGGTTATACTAAAGGAAATAAGGTGTGCTTATTACAGAGGTCTCTATATGGTCTTAAGCAATCTCCTAGACAGTGGAATTTGAGGTTTAATAGGTTTATGAAATCTCAGAAGTTCACACGAAGCAGGCTTGACACTTGTGTGTACTTCAAAGCTTATGGAGGAGGAAATTTTGTGTATCTTTTGTTATACGTTGATGATATGCTAATTGTGGCTAAAGATTTAGCTCAGATTCAGGTGGTTAAAGATTTGTTGAGTCGTGAGTTCGACATGAAGGACCTAGGACCAGCAAGAAGGATCCTAGGCATGGATATTTTAAGGGACAGGTCTAAAGGTGTTTTGGTTTTATCTCAGGAGGCTTACATTGAGAAGGTGTTAAAGAATTTTGATTCAGTTGATGTGAAATCAGTTCAAACTCCTATTAGGTGTCATTTCCGGTTATCTAGTACTAAGCCAGAGAATAAAGCTAAGGCTGAAGTAGAAATGAGAAGAGTACCTTACTGCAGTGCCGTAGGAAGTGTGATGTACGCGATGGTTGAAACTCGGCCTGATCTCGCTCATGCGGTAGGTCTAGTCAGTCGATTCATGAGCTCTCCTAGCACAGAACATTGGAAAGCAGTTAGATGGATCTTAAGGTATCTAAAAGGAAGTTCAGATTGCAAGCTAACGTTTAAGCGGTCACAGGAATTTGATATCAAAGGTTATTGTGATAGTGACTATGCAACTGACCTTGATAGACGTAGATCCATCACCGGATATGCTTTTCAAGTCGGAGGAAATACTATGAGCTGGCGCTCAGGTCTGCAGCAAGTGGTAGCATTGTCAACAACGGAAGCCGAATATATGGCGTTATCAGAAGCTGGAAAAGAGGCGTTATGGTTAAAGAGGATTAACGAAGAGTTGGGTTTTCCCCAGAAGAGTGTTGAGATCTTCTGTGACTCGCAAAGCGCCATATGTTTAGCGAAGAATAGCGTCTTCCATGAGCGTACGAAGCATATCGATACTCGCTACCACTTCATCAGGGGTTACATCGAAGAAGGAGACATCGTGGTTACCAAGATAGACACCAAGGTGAATCCAGCAGATATATTGACGAAGTCGGTGCCTGTTGAGAAATTTGAAGAAGGAAGGAGTCGTCTGAGAGTGATCAGAGACTGGAATCTAGCTCGGATCTGAGCTAGGGTTTCGACTGTGGAGTCGGTCGGAATGAACAAGATTATCGGATAAGATTGTCTCGGGTATCTTTTGTCTGAATGACACGAGGTGGAGAATGTGAGAGATCGCTTACATTCAGAATGGGCTGAAGGATTGATGTTGGGCTTGTGTGTGTCACAGGAAAGGCCCAGGAAGAGTCAAGTCCAGGAATCAGCTCGAAGGGACGAAAACACATGTTTGGATGTCGTTTGAGTCAAGTGTCTTGGTGCAGTGAACCTTACGGATAAGGTTAGTTACGATCAGTTGAGAGAGTAACAAGCTCGAGTGTGACGAGCTGGAATCTGCACAGGTATAAGACGAGTAAGGCAAAGAATCAAGACGGTGTGAGTAGGTGAAGAGATAGAGAGAGACTGAGCTTAGAGAGAGAATAGGGTTAGAGAGAGGACTCATCTTCTTCCTCGATCTAGTCTTGAGTGTTCTCGGTTGTAAAGCTCCATAGCCTTCTCAGACACCTTGTAACTCACACAGATTCTTTGTGAATGCCTTGAGAGCTGGCTTAGCTCTCCAAGACGTACCTTGGCCGGTGATTTTGGCCTTGGGAACTTGTAATTCTTGTGTACCATTTTATACTCTGTTTTACTCTGCATAAACACATACGAACATAGATCAATAAAGAGTACAATAAGATCGAGATTCTAAGGAAAAGAAGAACGTAGCTGAGGCGAAAACTCTATATAAAATTTGCATTTAAAAATCTCTAAAAAAATGTTTCTAAGATTAAGAAATTAGAACAAATAATATAAGGGTTACTTTTCAATTACCTAATTAAAACAATGACTATCTGAATCGATTACAGAATGCCTTCTTCTTATCTAACGAGACATGAAGTTATATATAACGTTTCAATTGAAGAATTTCCTAATAATTGATCCATGCATGATCATGAGTTGAAAAAACTCGAATGCATGTTACAGGATATATCTAAATTAATCGACGTAGTGTCTACGACTCTACGCAGAGAATTGTGCAGTGGCTAAGATTGGAAAGAATATTTGCTCGGCTGCGGAATCCTAATGAATTATTTGACTTATAATTTTAGAAAAATATGTACCGAAGTGTTTTTGAACAAAAAAAAAAAGGTTTAAGACACTGGTAGTTGTCTACCTGATAAATATACAGATGCATTATGTGGGTCAAAACGTGATTCTTATGTCACATTATTTCGAAAAATCTGTTAAAAATGAAGACTCTGACTATATGAGTTATTAAATTTAGGGAATATACATAAATTAGATAACCCTATATTAAATTTAGTCTAACGGATAAGGAAATGAGCCGAGTATGGAGCATATGTAGTATTCGAAATACTCGTATCAAAGTCGACTTTTATCCAAATTAATGAAAATTGATATGTTGGTTTTACGGTATCATCTACTCGAAATTTTCCGAACCTTACCCCTAATTTTATTCCATATTTCATCATAAATATTTTAGGAATGCTTCTCATTACCCAAATTACATGTTCTCGGGTTTTACCCGCTATTTAATGTTTCAAAATCAAGGATGAACATGCCTATAGACATCATGGTAGTTTATAAAATCACACAATTTCACATATATGCAAAATAGTATTACAATGGTTATTTTCTTAATTTTTGCTTGACATTTGACGACTTATCTGAGTTAACTCTGTACTTTATTATCTCATTAAAGAAAAAACATTTGTCTACATCAAAATAAAAGAAGAAATGATCAGTTCTTTTTATATAGCCGTTTCCGTGCCGTAAGTAAATGAGGTAGCTTTCAAGGCTTTTTGGCCGTCTTGGTTGCTCATAACCCGTTATAGCCGGTGGCCACACATTCACTTGTGACTTAGCCTTCTTAAAATCACCTCATTTCATGCTCCTTCCCGCTAAATTTGCCTGTTTCCTCTAACCAACTCATTTATTTTATCATCTTATAAAACCAAGAACACACAAAAAACCTCATTTATTCGTCTTTAGTTTCCCTTTTTTTTTCATTTCAATCTAAAAAAAACCTAAAAATTAAAAAAGGAAAATTGGAAAAACAATATTGGTCCCCTGTCTTCTTTTGCTCACTGGACCCTTTTCTTGGCTTCTCTTAAAGTCAGTCTCTGTTTCTCTGTCTCTTCTCACCGACACTTTCTTCTCACTTCTCTCTTCACCTCTTCTTTCTTCTCTGATCATATCAGTTTTATATTAATTTATAAAAAAAAATCAATTAAATAAAGCCAATCTTCTTTATTTTTCTTTAAAAGAAGAGAAGAGAAGAAGATCAGCATTTACATTTAAGAAAAATTGAGGTCCTTTAAATGTAAGTTTGTCTTTCTTCTTGTTTTATAATTAAATATGGGTCAATCTATTTGGTTTTTATATATTCGTGGCAGAAGCAGGTACAAATGCTGATGGCACATGGCAGCCAAAAACTATCAATTTTATTTTATTTTTGTTCTAAAGAAATTTTTTTTATATTAAATACAGATGATTTAGGTGATACTATGTTGTCTGTTAATGTTCATCGTGTATCTTCTTTAAAATCCAATTTGTTTATTTTTATTATCTTTAAATGTCCATTGAATTTTCAAGTGTCTCTCTCTCTTTCTCTACTCTGGAGTTTCTATTTGTTTATATCTGGTAGTAGTTGCAACATCAAGTTTTCTGACTTTCCTATCTTTCAACTTCCCTACAAATTGAGTTTTTAAATAACAACAAAAAGTTTGGGTTTTATTAATTTATTTGATATTGTTTAAGCCATTGATTCCTCTCTAATTCGCATTTTTAGTATTAGTTCTTTGCACAAAGGCCAAAAAATAATGGCAGTGGAGAAAAACAAAAAAGTGGATAGTGTGAATGTGAAGCAGAGGAACACTATATTGGTTGGAATTAAAATTGATGAGAGTGGCAAAGAGATCTTGAAATGGACACTTGAAGATGTTGCAGAACATGGCGATTGTGTTGTTGTAGTTCATGTTTGTTCAACTTCTCGTGAGCTTCTTCTCCTCTCCAAGCTTGTTAATTAATTTGCTCTTTTGAAGTTTCTGTTTTCTAAACTTTTTTTAATGTTTCTGAATTTATGGAATTTGATGCAGATCGTGCCTTGAAAACCAAGTCATCGTTGGATCGGTACTTGGAACTTTTTAGTGAATTCTGCTCAACAAAGAAGGTATTTCTACATTTTTACCGTGTTTATTTCGCGTAAAGAGACCATTTTGACCAATCGCTAATGGATAATATTTGGTTTTTGAGACAGATTGAGCTCAAAGGAGAAGTTTTGAAGGGAAGTTCAGTTCAAGAGGTTTTAGTTAAAGAAGCAAATAGTTACAAGGCTATATCCATTGTTGTTGGAGTTAAACATCAAAGAAAATTAAGGTGAGAAAATCTATAAGAAATAAAATTCTACTGTATATAAAATTTAATATTCTCTTACTGATTTTAGATATATATTTTTTTATAAGTCTAAAAGTAGCTAAAGGCTGCGCAAAAGAGCTTCCTCCAACAACTTATGTTTTGGCTATCTATAGAGGGAATATAGTCTTTAGAAGTTCCAACCATTACCACCTACCTCTTGGTTCGTTGGTTTTCTTTACAACTTCATCTCTATAAGTCTATATAACATTCTTCAGATTCTAATATATTGACAAGAAGTGGGGTTTCATTTTTCTTGCAGCTCAAAATATGAACTCAAGACCAATTTCTGAACTTTCTGATGGATTTTCAGATAAAGAAAGCCAATTGAAATCCGAAGAATCAAGCAGAGGGCTCGAAAAAACTGTCCAAGAGAAGAGGAAGATTTCAGGAAGATCGCTATCTCTTCCATCAGTAGAGGTAATGGACCAGAAACCGGGTTGGCCATTGCTAAGAACAACCACTTTAGCTACTCCTCTGGCTCAACATCACACTCGTAAAATATCTGTTGTCAATTGGGTCATGAGCTTGCCTGAACGGTTTCCTCATCATCCGAATATGACTTCTCAACTGAGTTTATGCGATAAAGAAGTTAAAGACATACTAAAGGAAATAAACAGATGGTTTAGCTACGATGTTCTTAAGACAGCAACATCAGATTTCTCTTCAGGTACTAACAAACAACTCTGTTTTGTTTTGTTTTCTCAGTCACTTTATGTTCATCGAATTCTTGGTTTTTTGGATTGCAGAGAATCTTATCGGAAAAGGAGGATGTAACGAAGTCTACAAAGGGGTTCTTGAAGCTGGAAAAGCAGTGGCGGTGAAGATCTTGAAATCATCTTTTAAAGAAGCAGTGAAGGATTTTGTTCAAGAAGTGAGCATAATCTCTTCTTTGACTCACCAAAACATCTCTCCTTTGATCGGTGTCTGCGTTCACTACAATGACCTAATCTCGGTTTACAATCTCTCATCCAGAGGAAGTTTAGAGGAAACCCTTCAGGGTTAGCAAAATACTACTCTACTCTCTAAACAATCTACACAAAAATTGCTTTAATATATTAAGTATGGTTATTCAGTTTCTGCAGGTAAGCATGTATTGAGATGGGAAGAGAGATTCAAGATAGCAATTGGGTTAGGGGAAGCCCTTGATTATCTACATAACCAATGTTCTAATCCTGTCATCCACAGAGATGTCAAATCTTCGAATGTTCTTCTCTCAGATGAGTTCGAACCCCAGGTATTAGAACTGCTGACTCAGAACTCATAAATATATGAAAGAACTCATAAGATTTAACCTTTTTTCGGATCTTTCTTGCAAGAATAGCTTTCTGATTTCGGGCTTTCGATGTGGGGATCCAAGTCTTGTCGATACACTATACAAAGAGACGTGGTGGGGACGTTTGGATACCTAGCGCCTGAGTACTTCATGTACGGAAAAGTCAGCGATAAAATCGATGTGTATGCCTTTGGAGTAGTTTTGCTAGAACTCATATCAGGAAGAACATCCATTTCATCTGATAGTCCAAGAGGACAAGAGAGTTTGGTCATGTGGGTAAGTGTTGGTTTTGGTTGATTGTAGTGTAAGAAATCCTCATTGAAAAACTCAAATAGAGATTACTTGGGTTGCAGGCAAAACCGATGATCGAGAAAGGCAATCTAAAAGAGCTCTTGGATCCGAACATAGGGACTTTCGATGAAGCTCAATTTCATAAGATGGTTCTCGCCGCTACACATTGTCTCACAAGAGCAGCCACTCATCGACCTAATATCAGAGAGGTTAACTACACTAATTGTGCTGGCTTATTGTTTAGGAATAGAAGTGTTGGATCCTCTGTTTAATCTATAAATTGCGCCAAGATCTAACCTTTTAGTCTTTTTTTTTAATTACATTTCTTCAGATACTCAAGCTGCTAAGAGGAGAAGATGAATTAGAGAAGTGGGTGAAGAAAATAGAAGAAGATGAAGATTGTTTCGATGACGAGGTTTACCCCAATTCGAACACAGAATTACACTTAAGCCTGGCTATGGTCGACGTGGAGGATAATGACTCTGTTTCAGTCGGCAGCTTAGAGAGAAGTAACAATAGTCTCTTTTCTTCTTCTTCTTCCTCTCAGGAGCTTCAGTCGTAAGTAGGGTTTGTGCTTAGTGTCTCGAGTTTGCTTGAGGATCACGTCATCACTCACGATCTTTACAATCAAATCACGCTAGATATCATTACTCTGACTTGGCTTTTGCAACCGTTGTCGAAAAAGTTTTTTTTTTTTGTATAGATGAGAGGAGGAGAAATACTGATAAAAGATTTCTAATGATTTCTAAGCTTATTTGAGAATTTACTATTGATTTAATAACTAGTTAGCTTAAAAAAAGAAATAATAATAGTATATGTCTGATTTTTAAATTTGTGAATTTATGTCTCTATTAGTATCATTTGTGATAGGTTTTTTTTTTTTAAGTATACCATTACTTTTATAACAAGTTTTTTTTGGTAAAATTTTTTATAACAAGTTAACTACTCAAGTTTCATGGACTAAACATTCGTTCAAGGAAGGTCTTCTTGGCCAAAGAATCTGGTAAAGAATTTGCATTGCAAGAAATGTAACTAAAAGAGGTAGAGGCTAATTTAAAATTGAGGAATTTCATGTCTAATTAAGAGGACACCTTGAAGCTTATTTATGATAGGTTTAAACTAATACTCCCTCCGTTTTTTTATTAATTGTCGTTTTAGAGAATTTTGTTTGTTTTAAATTAGTTGTCGTTTTCAGTTTTCAATGCAACATTTATTAGTTTTTTATTTTTTATAATTATTTTTATTATGCATGCAATTTATTTTATTATTGGTTGAATTGCGTTTAAATAGATAACTAATGATGTTTTTATATTGAAAAACTAATACTCCTTCTGTTTTTTTTTTTAATTGTCGTTTTAGAGAGTTTTGTTTGTTTTAAATTTGTTGTCGTTTTCAGTTTTCAATGCAACATTTACTAGTTTTTTATTTTTTTATAATTTTTAGTGAAACAACCCCTCAACTAAGTTTGAATCGGATAAAAACCCTTCAACTATTTTTGTAACGTAAAAACCCCTCAACTAAGTTTTCGTAATGATTTAGCCCCTTCGTGAACAGCACCGTCAAATCTTAACAAATCGTTCTTTTCTAGCAAAAACTACACGATTTTTACTATAAACAACAAGCTTTTTGAAAACCAGATATAAGAATCCCAAATTAAACATAATCTCTAAAATCTCCAAATTTTTAAACCTAAATGATGAACCCTAATTTTTGAAAGTGTGATTCTAATTAAGTAATTTTTATGGTTTGGAAGTCAATTGGGTGAGATTGAAATGATTTGTTGTGTTGATTAAAACGAATTTGAGAGAAAAACCCTTGGATTGAGAGAAATATTTTCGCAAATTGGGAGAAAGAGGAGAAAGAATCACAAATCTGAAGCTTGGAAGAAGATGAAGCAACTGTTTTATTTTGATGTTTAAAACCTGGTTCTTCTTCCTCCAACAAATTTACTAAGAAGAAGAATTTCAGAGATTTTCAAATTGAATGAAGAACCCTAATTTTTAAATTGGGAATTTTTAGTTTCAAATCGATTTTAGGTTTTTTTTATTGAAGTCATTTCGTTTTCATGTTTTCATTTAGCTGTAATCCGTTAAGATTTAACGGTACAGTTCACGGAGGGGCTAAATCATTATGAAAACTTAGTTAAGGGGTTTTTACATTACAAAAATAGTTGAGGGGTTTCTATCCGATTCAAACTTAGTTGAGGGGTTTTTTCACTAAAAACCCTTAATTTTATTATGCAATTTGTTTTATTATTGGTTGAATTGTGTTTAAAGAGATAATTAATGATGTTTTTATACTTAAAAACTAATACAATTAATATTTTCTTAATCTGTGTGCATAACCTTAAAACGACAACTAAATAAATCCAGAGGGAGTACAATTAATCCAAACACTCCCAAATTTTTTTTGAAAAAAATAATTTATATATATATATATATAAATTTAATTCTGAAATTAATTTAGATAACTAAAAATTTCCTTTAATATAGGTTATATTTATAGTGTATAGATATTAATTTAAATAGACTTCCTTAAATATATGTTAGATTTAATTTAACATTTGAAATTTAAATAAGATTTTCAAAATAACACATATGATTTACAAATATCTTATTATATTTTTTTATCATATTCTATCAGATTAAAATTTCACATATTGAAAATAGATAAATATTAATATTATATAATAATTTGATGGGACAAGTTAAGTTTTTTTATAATTATGGTCTTATACGGGTTAGGTTATCAAAGCATGCAAGATATTTGAAGAAAATTATTTCAAAATTAGTAAATATTTATATTATAAAGTAATATAAACGGGCGGGTTAGAATTATGGTTTCATAATCATGGTTTTTTTGGATTAATAAAATGAGTGAGTTAGAAATATATTTTTATAATAACGGTTATTTTTTATTAGTAAAATAACTGGATTAAAATTATGTTTTTATGATTATGGTGGTCATAATAATACTGAAAAATAAATAAAAAAAATTATATCTAAACATAATATTTTTATATCACTTATTGAAAAATTATATTTATAAAGAAAACATAAATTGGATTACAAATTTTGATTAAAACAAAATTCTCGTACGAATGCACGGAGTAAAATCTAGTATTTTCTTAATCTGTATGCATAACCTTAAAACAACTAAATAAATCCGGAAGGAGTAATATTTTTGATAAATTCTAGATAATACCTTGGTGGAGCCGATGTTACAAACAATTCATTTGAGAACTCCTGAATCTCGGGTCAATCCTGACCATAGAAGGTGTCTAAAGAACAAGTTAATGCGCAACTTTATAACCTAAGTACGAATAGAAAACATAGGGCATATAGAATAAATGGAAAGCTATCGAATAAGATTATCTTCCATTAACCAGAAAACAGAGATCAAGAAACTCGAATAAAATCCTATGGCTATTTTTGATAAAGCTACTTCTTTCACGATCACTAGTTCACATCACTCATGTTAAGACAAATTGAAAAGAAATAAAGAAAATTAAAGGAAAAGACAGTGGATGGTGATTAATGATCTACTATTTTATCTGGCTTTGGATGGAACAAAATTAAATATAAGTTTTTATTATGATGTAAAATCTGATGGTCTAAAATTAAGGGACGATGAAAGTTCTGTAATGTATGTTGTGCTTTTTTTATCGTGTTTTAGGAACTGTTAAAACATTTTGGAACTGTGAAAAATGAACTTTACATTTTGTGTGAAAATTTAGCAAGTCACTTTATGATTGTTTGTGCAACTTGGAATTGTGAAAAATAAAATTTAATTTTTTGTGAAATTTTAGCAAGTCACTTAATGATTGTTTGTGCAACTTGGAACTGTAAAAAATATATATATTTTTTAATTTTTAATTTTTTAATTTTTCAAAAAAAATTAGCAAGTCATTTTACGCTGCCTTGTAGAATATTTAAAATCAATTTTAAACTTGTTTGTCAAAACAAAATATAAATTAAACTCTATTAAATTAGTGATTTTTTTATCCTAAATTCTCACTTTAGTAGTGCACCGTACACCTGAATGTCTCCCTCTTTTTGTAGGCTTAATATGCAACTATAGCCCAAAAAATATTGAGGATAAAAAATCACTAATTTAACTCATGTTTTCAAAATTTCGAAAAATAACATTTCTTAATTAAAAGTTACCAAAATATCATAATTAATATTTTCAGTAAATAATCGTTAAAAAAGTTTCGTGTAGTGTTGGAAAAATTATGCTGAGTTTTTTAATAGCGTTGAAGAAATAAGGAATTTCACCTTGTTTTGTGTAAACGATTTTTTTAAGTGAAAAAGTCATTGTTTTTGTCTAGATCCTACTTTACGTTGCTATATATTCTAATTTCAACAATTTATAATTTTTAAAATTTGTTGAATTCTCGAACTAATGTAATCTCTCACAACATAGTTGAGAACAGTATGAGCTTCCATATCTTTAAGATTGAACAAACAAACACTCTTATAAAAGAATTACATTTTTTGATTTTTTGATGTTAAAGAATAACGTTTTTAAGCCATCGTACTGCATTAATGTAAATACTTGAATCACATGATTGTTGAAAGTAACAAGACAATGATACATCATCCTCTATATCTTTTTTTAACAAAAAAAAAAACAAGACAATGATACATGAATTAACAATAAAAAACTTTACTGGTCATATTAACGTACTAATATCTAAATCATGCTAAAGATGACTAAGTGGACACTTATTTCATCATCATGTTGAATATCTATTGTTTTTTTTTTTGAATTAAATGTAAAATTTATTCAACAAAAAAAACCTTTTTACAATAAATTTATCATTTTTGAATTTGTAAAGGATAAAACTAATCTAAAAAAGAAAAAACAGAGGTTCCATTTACTTCCAAACCAGATTTGCATTGCTTCATCATATCTTGAAACTCCTCGGCTTCGTATTGAACTTAGCCTGTTTCAAACTTGCTTGTCAATGTGCTTGAATTAGCTGCACTGAAGTGGAGTGCGATTCATCGTGTTTTCTCCCATTTCGCTCTCTCCATACCGAAGGAATTGTTGCTTGAAAGGTGTATCTGGTAAGAAATAGATTTATCTTACCGAGCTCTGCATCAAAGAGTATGATGTTGATGTTTTGCCAAGTTTTTGTATATTTTCTGCCCAGAAGTTTCCTCGTTAAACTAGCCCATATCTCTACCGTGAAGCTACATTGGAAGAATCCATGTTCGAAAAGGCAGCCGCCTAGTCGCCTAGTCGGCTGCTTACGCGCTGGAAGGAGGGTCACCGCCACGATTTTGGCATGGTCGGTGGTGGTAGGCGGAAAACCGATTTTCCACTGCCTAGAAGCGACTAATGAAAAAGGCGGCACAAATCAAAAAAAAATCGCCCCAAATTTTTAGAAAATCAGATAAAAATTTGGGTTTATTGATGGGATAGTCTCGGGCCCATATCTGTTTTTCTTTTCTTTGTAAAACGACATAAGGTCTGTTGATTAAACCCGATCGATCTTAAACAAACCCTAAACTAAATTTCCCCAAATTCTAATCCTAATCGCGATGAAAATGCAGAAACTCACGATGAAATCAGGAGGAAATCAAGCTTAATCAACATCAACCTCCGAGAACATCAAGAAATCCTGACCAAATCAAGCTCTTTCATCATCTACAAAGTCTTCCATTTCGTTTTCGAGGTAACAATCTCTAAATCTCTCAATCTCTCTAACAAAGAACAAGTTCTTTGGTTTGGTGTTGTGTATTGGTTCCGATTCTGCTCTTTGATTCATCTTCATTAACTTAGAACCCACATTCATCTATTTTATAACCCATCTTCATCTAACTTATTACCCACCATTCATCTAACTTATAGCCCACCATTCATCTTCATTAGTTCCTGGCTGATCCACCACCTAAAATGGCTGATCCACCACCGGAAATTTTAACTTTTCTTAAGCGTAATTCAGCTGATGTTGGATGGGAGGATGGTGTCTTGTATGATCCCCTGAATCCAGACAAAGTGAAATGTAAACTTTGTGGAAAAGAGATATCGGGTAGAATTCATCGATTGAAGCAACACATTGCACATAAGAAAGGTGTCGTGGCTTCTTGTCCCAGGTCAAGTCAGGAGGATAAAGATAAGTGTATGAAGGCATTGAATGAAGCAAAGGAGAAGAAAAGTCTGAAAAGAAGACATGGAGATGATTTGCGAGCTGAGGTGAATGTTAAGAAGCAAGCCACTGATGAACTAGGAAAAGAGCTTGGAACAATGAGATCACCTCATTTCCAAGATCCGATTGATAAGTTTGTAATCTGCATTGATACAGAAGCTTCGTTAGCTACTCGGAAAAGGCAACAGAGCATCCATGATGTTATTTCTAAAGAGAAGACACATATTGTACGCCAATATTGAGCTAGGTGGGCCTATCATGCAAGCATCCCATTCAATGCTACAGACAACGAACTTTTTAAGTTGTTTTGTGAAGCATTGGGACAGTTCGGGCCTGGTTGGGTACCACCAAGTCAATACCAGCTGCGTGAACCATTGTTAAATGAAGAAGTTCTAGAGGACACAGCAAAAATTGAAGATTTTAGAAGAATAATGGGAAAGAGAAGGTTGCTCTGTGATGACTGATGCATGGACTGACATGAAAAGAAGAAGCATCATGAATTTGTGAGTTAATTCAAGAGGTGGTACTTGATTTCTTTCTTCAAAGGACACCTCCAAAGATTCACATACTGGTTTGTACATCTTCAACTACATTTACCAGTGCATAGAAGATGTATGAGCTGAAAAAATAGTGCAAGTGGTTACTGATAATGCAACCAACAATGTATCAGCGGCTAGGATACTTAGAGAGAAGAGACCAACTATCTTTTGGAGTGGATGTGCAGCTCACACCCTAGACTTGATGCTTGAGGGAGTTTCGATGTTGCCTAATTATGCCAAGATTATTAGTCAAGCAAAAGAAGCCATTGTCTTCATATATGCTCATCATAAAACTTTGTCAATGATGAGAGCATATACAAGGAAGAGAGATATCATCAGACCTGGTGCAACAAAGTTTGCAACTTGTTTCTTGACTCTCCACTGCATGCATGATAAGAAAGCTCAGCTTAAGGCAATGTTTACAAGTGATGAGTGGTATGAATGTACACATTCAAAATCTTTGAAGGAAAAGAACACATTTGATACTGTTATGAATTTTGGTTTTTGGAATTCTGTGATGATGGTTTTGAAGATCTTCAGCCCTTTGGTGAAGGTTCTAAGGCTAGCCGATGGAGAGAAGATACCTTATATGGAGTTTATTTTTGGTGAGATTTTAGAAGTCAAGAAGTGCAGAATGGAAGCTTGTGATCATTTGGAAAATAATTACCAGCCTGTTTTTAAAATTATTGATGAAAAGATGAAAGGGAGGTTGGATTCTTCATTACATGTGGCTGCATACTTCCTTAACCCGTTTTACTTCTACAAAGACAACAGTATACAGTTTGACATGGCCATCGTAGAAGGATTCATCAGCTGTGTAGAGACTTTTTAATATGGTAACTTTGATTCTCAAGATAAGGTTATGAATCATGAGGGTAAACTCTACAAGAACAAACTCGGATTGTTTGGCAAAAACTTAGCATTAAGAGGCTGTGAAAACAAGAGATGAGAAGTTTGATCCAGGTTAGTCTCCTCGCTGTAATTCTCTTAGTTACTCATCCTCACTACTTATTGATCATCCTCACTTGAATTGACATAGGGAATTGGTGGTCAACATATGGATGTGGTGCACCAACTTTGCAAAAGTTAGCAACAAGAATACTTGCTTTGACCTCTAGCTCTTCGGGTTGTGAAAGAAATTGGAGTTGTTTTGAATCGGTTAGTGTATTTTGGCTTTATATCTTATATTGTTTTCTCACAAGCTCATAATGTTAATCGTTGAACTCTGGTTTCTCTCTGGTTTTGCAGATCCACACTAAGAAAAAGAATAGACTAGATGTGAATCGCTTAAAAAATATAGTCTATGTCCAATTTAATGCTAAGTTGTTCAACTAGCAGAAAAAGATAAGAGAGCAAAATGCTGATGCTATCTTCGAAGATGGTAATGAAGATACCGTTGAAGAATGGATCGTGGGACCACGTTTGGAAGAGCAAGACAGTGAAATCAATCTGATGCTAGCCACACAAGCATCACAGACAAGAGACATCTATGATGATGATTTTGATTCTGAACCGGAAGATGCTATTGACATGGAGTTCGAACCTGATGAATATCAAGAAGTTCCTCTGTTTCGGGACTCACAAACTTCTTAATCAGGTTAGTTTCTTGTTTGTCATTTCTTGTTCTTTGAGGTCAATGTTCTGATTTTTTTATGGATCTATGTATTTGTCTTTCTATGATGTCTTCGATGCCTTGCTCTGTTAGGATTAGACAATAGGCTTGTATCGTATGTGATCAATTAGTCATGGTTTTTATGGGATTAAAAACCTTGTGTTCTCAATTCATTATGTGTTATCTCTTGTATTGTAAACTGTTTTGACCTTATAATTTTTCTTTTTTTGCAGGTTTCATTAGTAAATGACAAGCTCAAACACATCTAGAAGTACAACACACATGATAACTTGATTATTGAAGAGAAAACGGATGAAGATTATGCTTTCCTTGTATTTTTTTGGCCTCTCAATATCAAGACTATCTTTTTTTTTTTGGCATCATGTGCTTGTACTTCTCTTTTGTTTTTTAAACTTTGATGTGTGTTTGAACTTGATTTCTTATTGTTATGTTACTTTGACAATCAAATATGCATATTTCATATTACGTTTGACAATCAACTATACATATATCGACCATGGTTTATAACTTATAACCCAAAAAAAAATTCCACTAATTGGCGATTAAACACCGACTAATCAACGATTTTCTGATAAGACTCTAGTCGAGACCCAAGCGCCCGCCTAACGACCAGCGCCATTTCGACCATGGGGAAGAATAGATGATCTCTGCTTTCCAAGTCTTGACAGAAAATGCAATCTCCTATTGCTCCAACATTCCAGTGCAACATTCTATCACAAGTGGTTAAACGATTATGCATTGTAAGCCCGTTTATGAATGAGTATTTAGGTGTTGTATAAGAGAACCATACACCTTTATACCATTCACAAGTGGGCTGAGAGTTTCGAGTTTGGATCCAAGTTAGCTTGGAGCTGAAACTTGCTTTGAATTTGTCATTCTTTTGTCTCCATAGCATAACATCCTTATATTGTGAATCACCTCTCTGTGGCAAGGTTTCAATGGTGTCCTCGATTTGGTTTATAAGGATATTACATGTTTGCTAGTTTAAAATTTTTGAAAATATGGGTTACTTTTCAAATTATAAGAATTTTTTAGATTATTAAACAAATCTCCCATATATATTTGGTATACTTTTGTACTACAGTTCAATGATTGATACATGGGAAATTCTAGTTCAACATTAATGTAAAATTTTTTTTTTTGAAGATTTAATTATATCACTATATACAATCAATATCTAATTATTATTCTTAAAATGTTATAGAAATAACCTTTTTGGAAAACCAAATTTAGTTGACCAAAGAGATTTAGTTGACCAAGAGTTTATTTGGTAGCAGCTTTGTTTTTTTTTTTGGTCGAGTGGTAGCAGCTTTAATTTACGAAAAGGTCGAAACAAATCAAAATTTGATACGAATCAATTAACACAAAAAAGGAAGAAAACGAATCTGTGCAACTCCAAATCTCTTTTAGTACGTCCATGTCTTTCCGCCATGGAAATGATGCCATCTGTTAATACGCTTCTATCATCAAAGTTATAGCACCATTTCGTCTCTAGGGTTTCCTTTCTCTAATCCTCGCGTCTCTCTCTAAAAACCCTCCTCGCCGATTCGCCTCTCATGTTTCTCAATTCGAAACTAGGGTCTGTAATGGCGATTCTCCTGCATTTCTCTTGAAGCTTTTCGCCTAATTTCTTCACTTGTCTCGATCTTAAAGGTACGAGATTTCTTTCAATTTAGATATCAATGATTGGATTTTGACTTCTCTTGAATCGTATGAATTGAATCAGCCGATGATTAGATATTTGGTAATTGGATTTTGACTTCTTTTGAATCGTTTGAATTGTCTTTTTCCCTCTGAAATTAGGTCTGGTCTTGATCGGGAAAGCTCATTTGGTCTCTAGAACAATTGTATCCATAAAGTGTCATACTTTTTGGGTTTAGATCAATCAAAATTGTTAAAAGGTTCCTACTTGTTGCTGGGTTTCTGTGATGGACGACGGTGAGCTTGAGTTCTCGAACCAGGAAGCTTTGTCGAATCCGAAGATGCCTGAGTTTCCTCCTAGCAACTGTTCGATGGATTCTTTCTTCGATGAGCTTCTCAACGACTCTCATGCTTGTACTCACACTCACACTTGTAACCCTCCTGGACCAGAGAACACACATACTCATACATGTCTCCATGTGCACACCAAGATCCTCCCTGCGCAGAGCGACGACAAAGCTTCCACCGATGACACATCGGAATCTTCAGGGAAGAAGAGCAAGAAGCGACCTTTGGGGAACAGAGAAGCGGTTAGAAAGTATAGAGAGAAGAAGAAGGCTAAAGCGGCTTCGTTGGAGGACGAGGTGATCAGGCTTAGGGCGGTGAATAATCAGCTGTTGAAAAGGTTGCAAGGTCAAGCTGCATTGGAAGCTGAGGTTACGAGGCTAAAGTGTTTGCTTGTTGATATAAGAGGAAGGATAGAAGGAGAGATTGGTGCGTTCCCTTATCAAAAACCCGCGGTTACAAACGTGCCTTTCTCGTATATGATGAATCCTTGCAATATGCAATGCGATGTTGACAACTTGTACTGCCTTCAAAATGGGAACATCGGAGAAGGTGCATCGATGAATGAGCAAGGGCTTAATGGTTGTGAGTTTGAGCAGCTACAATGCTTGGGTAATCAGAACTTGGCTGGCAAGGAGATTCCTCTCTGTAGTAATGGAAATGGAACATTCAGTGTCGATGCTTCTGGTGCTAATAAGAGAAAAGGTGAGATTACTAGTACCTTAGGATCTCTTTCTTAGAGGTTGTCCAGTAAAATTAAATCTTGAAACAGTTTTCTATCGACTTCTGTCAACTTCTGGGTTGTGTGGATTTAGTTTTATGAACTCATGGTGTTTGCTCTTGCAACAGGTGAGACTCGTGTGGCGAAAACAGTTTGAAGCATCATCAATCATGTAGTACTATCCATTTTCACAAGGGTAGTTAATTTCTAATAAGTAGTAGAGTTTCAACTGTGTCACCAGTTTCCCTCAGGGTACGTTTGTGCTATTATCATTTTTGTAATCTCTTTTGTTTTCATCTTTTTTTTTATGTGATTGTTTCCTCGTTGAGCTCGTTGAGCTCGTTGAAGCTAGAGGTAAGACGTGTTAATATTCAAATCGAATTTGCCAGTGTTCTTGCCGTTTGGTTTTGTAATTTATTAGCTTCATTTCTTGAGTTCTTATCAATGTTGCATTTGGAAAAAACAAGATTTTGCAACTAGAGCTGGAAATCTTGAAATTCTTCCAACATGATACGTTAACAAGTGGAATTGGTTCAAGTTAGTTCTACCACAAACGCAAAGCTCTGTTTGAAGTTGGCTCAAGCACGAAATAAACTTAGGTAGTTACAGACCAAATAATTTCATAATTTTCTTTGATCTATTGTGCATCTTGTTTGACGTCCTCGTCAACCTCAGCATCATCTTCGTCTCGATAGATGCTTTCCGCCATCTGCCACACTTGAAGACTGTTGTCTTCAGCTACACTCGCAATGACCCAAGGCTCGTTTTTGTTCCAAGAAAAGTCTGATATCTTAGCCTTGTGGCCTCCATGAGAGAAGAGTAACTCTGGTGGACCATCTTCTGCATCTAACTCTATCTCAAGCTGCTCTTCTCCAACCCTGTAAACCCCCAAAATAAAGAAGCCTTACTCATATTGATCAATTTTCAGAATAAAAAGTCAAAAGTTTTCGAGTTTGAAAAGGAGATGATGTTACCTGTTCAGGTCCCAGACCATCAGCCTTCTGTCTTCACCAGATGATGCGAGCACTGTTTCATGGTTAGGATCCCACTCCACTTGGAAAACCTCTCCCCTGTAACCAAATCATTCATTAGAATGGTGTATCAACAATATATAGATGGCCTAGAGGATGTGAGAAATGTAAAGGAACATACTCATGGCTGCTCAAAACGTGCAGTGGTGTATTCAGCTTCCGGAGGTCAAACAAGGCAACAGTGGAGTCTGAGGAAGCGGTGGCCAAAACCCATTCGTTGAATGGATTGAAAGACAGATAATTCACCTGAGAAACACAAGAAAGCATGGTCATACGGAATGTGTACCGAAATTGGAATATTTGACTGGGAGATTGTGTATGCAAGTTAGCATATGGTCAATGACTTCTGGTTTTCAACAAACAGAGGCCACACAGACTTAAGATATCAAACCTCGATAATTTACTTTCATCTTAAATGTGCAGAGATATTAGAGATGGTTTCTACCTCCTTCTCGTGAACTTTCACTTGGTGTTGCATTTGGTTTGTCCGTGTGTCCCATATTACCAATCGACCATCATCACCAGCAGACCCAAAAAGGTTCTCATTCTTCATGTGCCATGATACATCTTCGATAACACTTTCATGTCCCTAGACCCATACCGAGGGAATAAAAATCAGATGCAGCACATCTTCTAGAAACAGGAGAAAGATAAAACACCAGTAGTATTGTTCCACTTACCTCATACACAAACATTGCATTCAGAACTTTTTCTTGCGGCGTAGCTGAAACATCCCAAAGACAGATCTTCTGATCCTGTGAACCACTCAGAAGACAACCTTCCTTGAAAGGACTCCAAGACAATCCATAACCTTCCTTGTCATGTCCCACCAGCCTCAGATCAGGATCACAATCACTTGTTTGTGGCTTTGAAGCATGTTTCGCGTAATCAAACAGAAACACTTCACACCCACTTGTTTTCGCACCAACAAGCGTCGACTTTTGTGGCATGCAACGCGCTCTGTTCACTTCTCCATCAACACGTATCTTCTGCCTAATCTCCACCTACAACACATCGGATCGTTGAATAAACACGAATAAGTGATAACCAGATATTCTTATGCACTGGAACTAAAACCCAGTAAATTATCAATTGTATGTTCTCTAAGACCGTCCCTGAAACTTTCAGCTAGTAATTTTATCGAACACATGGTGAGCATAGAACACGAGCTACGAAGATCACCAGAAAAGAGGAATCTTCATGAGCCACAATACCTTAGGGATAATGGGATCCTGATTTCTGCTGCCTAAATCTGGTTCGGCGTCGGGAGTTGGGATAACGGCGTCGGCGATCATGAGAAAATCTTGGGCACCACCGGAAGTGTGGGTCCCGAGTATAAGCTTGTGGACGGCGAAGTAAGGGTCCGCCGCGTAAGGATTCGGCGTTGACGGGACCCAATGGACGGTGAGGGACGGCCATTCGAGAGGGTGAGAGATCATAAGATCGTAGAGGAATGGTGTGTTCTTCTTCCACACAGAGAAATCCTCCTCCACTTGATTCATTCCCGCCTCCTCCTTACCTTCATCTGCCATCTTTACTTTCTCTTTCTCTCCTCTCAATCTAAATTTCTCTCTCTATCTCCGTCTCTCCGTCTCTCTCACTGATCTCTGTCCTCGAGGGTTTCGTGTTCTCGTCTATTTTCCCGCCAAAAAGAGGCAGAGAGATCACCCGAGCGAGCGAGGGTTACAACAAACTTGGCGGTCAAAATGCAGTAACGAGTTGTGTTGCTGTTTGTATTTTCTTCAAATGAACGCTGTGTCGTTTTGTTGTTGCAAAACCAGCATGTATGTGTCTTCTGTATAACACTATTTTTATTAGTTTTCCGCGTTGTGGATTAATGGGCCTGTAAAAGCCCACTCACTTATTCGTGTGAAAAAACTGTAGCAGGAAAAAAAAAAAGTGGAGAAGATGATGAAACAATTGTACATTTCGAACAAATGCCAACTTTATATAAGTTGTTCAATCAAAACTACTGTACTCAGGAGAGTAAGTTTTGATTATTATAGTAAATTTGGAATAGAAAGATGAATAGTCATAATAAAATGTGGTCAGAATTTCGATATATCTTCTCAAAGGTTCAAAGAATTTGTTGACATTTCAAGTATCGTACCTGGTTGAACCATGTCGGAACAAAAAAAACCTTGTTGAACCATGAACAAGTATTAAAAATGAATTTTCCCACCGCTTTGATTACTCAAATGACTCAAATGTATTGGCTGTACGAGTTAGTACTCTAGAACAGCCTTTCTTTTTGTATTTTTGTTTGTATTATTGTAAAGTTTCTGCCCCCAAAAATCTAGTTTTCATAAATTGGAGAATGTCGAAGAAGATTGGGGGGACCATATAGAAACTACTAATTTACAGATGATTATTTGCGTGCTTTGAAAGATCCAAGAAGTAAAGCAAAGAAAAGAAAAATGTTTGCTTCCCTAAAACGAAAATAAATATTGTTAGCCATTTGCAATCAATTCCAATTCCCAATCATTATCACTCTTTTTGGGAACCTGCTTGTGTCTATATCTCGTCCAATTGCTCTGTCTTTTGTGTTGACATTGTGTCTATATCTCTATGCTTTCAAGATTAGTAATACTGTATTTGTTTTATGATTATCGATAAAACATTTATGACTGAGAGAGTGAGAGATAACATAATAGCAAGATTATCACAAGAGTCACAACTTATCTCTTGAAATTTTGGGAAAACAAGAGGAGTAAATCTTTTGTTTATTTTTCTTAAATAACATTTACAGTTTTTAGCTTAATAATACTTGTAAAAGAATCATTTTCTTCTCAAAACCGTAAGGGGAAAACAAAAAAACCAAAAAAAACCTTTTAAACTATACACAGAAACAAAAAATCATAAAACGGGATTAAAAATCATACTAGGAGCTGGCACAATGATGCTTTGCATCTCTGTTGCCGTCTCATGGTTATCTCCGGCGGCCCACCGCCTTAAATACCTCATCAACGACGCCGCTTTTCTCCCTCCCCTCGCCGTTCCTGTCCCTATCATTTCCCATATAACCCTCTCTATCCCTGGAATCGCCGCCATCTCCGCCACTAGCTCCGATCCTCCTTTCCGGCACATCGTCACCAGCGTCGCCGCTGCACTCTCCCTTGTCGTATCCGCTCCTTCCCTCATCATCTCCCCCAATAGCCGTATCAGCCCAAACGCTGCAGAAACCGCCATGAGTCCTCCTCTCCTCACCACCGCCTCTACAACCGCCACCGCCTCCTCCGGTAGCTCCCGGAATGCGTCTCTTGCAGCCTCTACCACCCCAGCTTCGACGAACCTCCCCACGTTCTCTCTCTCCGCCGCCAGGTTCAGAATCGCCACAAGCGCGTCTCTTTTCGCGCTTGTGGGTCCCATTTTCGCCAAGTCAACTAATCCGCTAACGACACGTGCCTTTCTCCCGAGTCTTCTTTTGTAAGCCGAGACGCCAGCCAAACTGAACAGAGTCGCGGCAGCGTTTGCTTTAGCCTCCCACGTGGCACCCGAACGCAAAACCTCGATAACGCCGTTTAAAGCTCCGTCTGTTTCCATGATCCTCGTTTTGTTCTGTTCCAAGATCGAGAGGTTGAGAATCGTCGTCACGGCGTTTATCTGAAGGCTCGGTGAGTCTGAACCTAGATACCGTACCAGCTTCGGTATTGCTCCAGCCTCGGCTATGCAGGCTCGGGCTACCGAATCTGACTTAGCTAAAGCTCGGAGCTCGAAAACGACGCCGTTCGGCTCTGCCACTGAGAGCTTCTCGATCAAAAACGAAACCATCATCTTCGTAAACTCCACCGCGTCTTGACACGGCGTATGAGTCCCTGCGTCGCCGTCTCCGTATATATCAAACGGGATCTTCTGATCTCGGCACCACATCACGATCAGGTTCTTCAAGGCACGGTTTGGTATGAGGTTCGTATGCTTGAGGACCTGGCCTGTCTTTGGGCAAGTGTTGTGACCTGACTGGATCCAGAGATCGATCGACTCTCGATCATACGTCTGACCGGTGGAAACCACCACCGGGTCACGCATCAGCTCCAACGTGATTGGGCACCGGAAATCCGCCGGGATATTCGCGTCTGATAACGACTTGTAGCGGCGGAAATCTGGATTTGGCGACGGCGTCGAAGGACCGTGAATCACGCAGTTTGAGTAACGAACGAATCCAATGAGAGACGCGGCGGAGGATTTGGATCTCTCGTCGATCTGATCATGTGTTTGATCCTCCAATATCTGGATTTCTTCCCTCAAGCTAGCGGAATCTGGAAAACCTAAATCGCTGAAAATCTCGGTTAGCTTCGATTGATCTGGAGAGATCTGGTGCTTGATTCCGGCGATTGTATCCGTCACTTTACGACGGAGAGCTTCGTCGCGAGGATCGATGAACTGAAACGAATCGGAGCATTGTTTTCTTAATAGAACGATGAGATCTTCGGCGTCGTCGCTTAGACTCAAGTCATTGACCGGTAAAATATCGAGGACGGTGGATAAATCAGTGATTAGCTCTTGGAAGCTGAAGGCGACGATTTCGATCTGAGAGAGTAGCCAGAGTTTGCTTGCTCTTGAGCAATCCTCGATCAAAGTCTTCATACGCTGCATCACGATATGCAATTCCTCGAAACAGAGCTGAGCCGATTGCGAGTAAACCACCATGTGATTTGATCGGAGAAGAAGCTCCTCGAAAATCGCCGATAGTATCTTCGCCTTGCGTATGACGGAGAGAGAATTCCGTCTCAGGATGAATCGGAGAGGCTGCATAAGAGAAATCTCTTGAGACGCGAAGAACAGTGATCGGATCAGTTTCGAATCTGACGTCTTTGAAGAATCGAGAGATCCGACGACAATAAACGGACGCCGTTTTCTCGCCGGGAGAACTTCAAGTGTAACAGCCATGAATGAGGAATATAGACAATTACGGTTTTTTTGAATTTTCTCGGGAAAATTCCTGGATTTTGCCGGAGATTATCGGAGACGATGGACGAAATTATAGCAAATATTTTTCCTAGTTTTATAAGAAAGTATTTATATATAATCAAGAAAGACGGCTTCGTGAGTTGTCGAGCAACATTGAATTAAAATATTTTTCTACAAAAATTGTGAAAATGAAGATAAGGTCTTCGTGTTGATGACATAAGAATGTGTTGATGACATAAGAATGAAATAGTTGGTATATGTTTGTTAGAGTTGAATTGATTTGGTCTTCATTATTCAAATAAATAAATACTCCATAACTAATCATTATATATAGTTTTTTTTGTAAGAAAGTTCATTATTAGTTTCCAAAAAAAATTGTTTTAAAAAAATATTATTGAATCGGTTGTGCTGGCTTTCTCCACTTTAGGCAGAATAATTGAGCATGTATTAATATATTCGAATGTTTCCATTAACAAGTTAGTTCCCTTTATTTAAACCAAATAATGTCTCTTTTAAGCAATATATGAGATGGGAAACAAGAGCTTATAAAAAGATGGCACCACTCATGCACCAGCAAACGCGATGCCTTAATGCACACACACTAAGCTTAATTAAACTTTTAATATTGCAATATGAATATTAATTGTAATGATGATGTCTCCCAAGTTCCAAATAAGATTAATAGACATTTTGCTTTCTTTTTAATATTAAACCAAATCCTACAGGTCTTTATTACGACTATTTGATTTTGACATAGACAACTTCTTCTGCTATAAGTTTAATGTCTGATTTTTTTTTGGGTTGCTTTTGATGACTTAGAATGCAACAGTTGGTACATGTGTTGTTACTGGTCGAATTGATCTGGTCATCATTATTCAAATAAATACTCCACAACTAATCCTTATGTAGTTTATTATTGTTGAATAGGTTGTGCTGGCTTTTCTCCAATTTTGGCTGAATAATCTGGACCAAATTCATATGAAAACTGTTCAATCAAAACTTGAATACTCGGAAAGTAAGTTTTGCTTATTATATATAGTCAATGTAGAATAGAAGTAATACAATAATACAAATGTGCTGAGAATTTCATATGTCTTCTCAAGGGTTCAAAGAATTTGTTACCATTTCAAGAATTGACTTAACTATAACCTCAGGGCTTAGAACCACACTGACTTTGAATATCATTTCACAGTCATCATCAGCTTGAAGCAGATCAAACTGAGACTGAAGAAGAGTGAGAGGCATGAAGTGTTCTCCCTCAGAAGCTCTCTTCTGTAACCGAGCAGCGATCACCTCTGCATTACCTTCCAACAACACAAACTTCACTTTGCAGCTCGAATAGCTTCCAGGTTTGTAATCAGGATCAGAGCCTCTCAAGATTTCTCTATACTGTTTTCTCAATGAAGAACAAGCGAGAACAACGGTTTCTCCATTGAGTAAACGTTTTCGCAAACTCCCCTGTAATGTTTCAAGCCATGGCTTCCGGTCTTCATCTGAAAGAGCAATGCCTTGGCTCATCTTATCTGGTGTTAAACCATGAGCAAATGTTCAAACATCAAATTACACAACTGATGAGAACATTAATTCGTTAGTCACAATGTATTTTGATTTTTTTTGTTACCTCTGTTTGATAGAGAGTGAAAATCATCTGCATCAAGAAAATCACAATCTAGAGCTTTTCCCAACATCTTACCTATGGTACTAACAAAGTGAAGTAAAAAGCATCACTACAAGATCAATCACTGTTTTCAAGCTTTTTAATTAGTCCAATAACATTTTAAAATGAAACTTACGATTTTCCTGCTCCGCTTACTCCCATTATTACAATGACTTTGCCTGTCACTATGATATACAAGAATGAGTGAGAAAAAACAGATTAGAACATTGACAAAAAAATTGTTCCATAAAAATATGTTGAAAAGCTTAATGCCATTTTTAGCCGACATGCCTGAGGTTTTGTATCTTTTTGAAGAAAGAATCTGTGTGCAAGTAAATAAACAAACGTATCCATAGCTCTAAATCTTAGTTTATAATTCTTCAACACAGAACAATATAGATGGCATTCTCAATTGCTCAAACTATCTCTTATTTTCAACAATTTGCAATACAATGCATGATTATAAAAGCTAATGATTACTCCCATTTTTATTGTTCTGTTTCCTGATGCAAGCTAATGATTACTCGCATGATTAACCTATTTGACTCTCAACAATGTCTATATATATTGACTTCATCTCAAACAATAACTTATGATGTTTTTACCAAAAAAATAAAATAAATAATAACTTATGATGTTTTTATGAGAGACGATGGAGACACAAAAACCCTAAATCTGAAATCAAGAAACAAAACTGCTACGGATCAACGTTTCACATTGCCTGATTTCTCACAGCAATTGAAGAAAGAGTGAAACTTTTTCTAAGCGAAATTCAGCATTCTCTGAGAAGTAAATGAGATCGAAATCGTTTGTTAAGTGATGAAAATTTAAACATGACACAAAGACTTACTGTGAATTTTTTTTTTTTTTTTTTTTTAATTGGGCGAGTTGGTGGCTTGATTGATCAAAGTCAAAAAAAAAAAAATCAGGATAACACTAGAGAAAACAAAAAGAAATCAGAAAGAGGTAAGATGGGATTGAAAATGAAGTAAAAACCTGAGAATTTAATAAATAAAATTTTGGTTGGGGCGAGAAGAAGAAAGACGAAAATTTTGCAGAGAGATAGAAAAGGAGAAGGAGAACCAAAGATGAATATGATGGATCTGTTTGGATCAAAGGAAGGATTACTTTATCAGTTCTTTTTAAAGAAAACTGATATGTCATTATTGTTGAGTTTTTTTTTAATAGAAAATCAAACTTATCATATAATTATTATCATTGAGTTTCAAAATATTTTACTGACTATCACGAACGTTGTTTAAAGTTCGCTTAAACGTTTATAAGCGTTTAATTTAAACGCTAACTAATTTAAATTTAAAAACAAAAATATTTTTTTCTTAATATTCTAAAATTATTTAGTTGAAATTTTAAATCTGTTTTAGATATTTAATCTACTATTTATATCATGCTATAGTGTAATAATTCGAATTTGTTTTAAACAAACCAAAAATAACTCAGAACCGAATTTGATTTTTTTAAAAATAATATAATTAGGTTTAAATTGTCACACCATTTTAAATTTCTAATTTTATTGAAATTTATTTAAAAAACACTCAAGTTATATTTTGTTTCTCTTTTTTTTTCATTTTTTTTTTACACTCTCAATCTTAAACCATTTTCTCACTCTTATACATTTTTCATTCTCTCATGCAATATATTTATAGTTTCACTACTTTTTTGGGGGGGGGGGTCAAATTGTTATGCTCATTAATCAATCAACTTGATATAAGAGAAATTTGAGAGCGTTTTCACAATAGTGTCAGTCACGACATTATCTGATTAAGAACAAAATGAAAAGAACAAAAAAAAATAACACCAGATGGCATATCTCGTTAACAATAACATGTATCTCCATATATGTTTCCTGCGAATTGATGAGATTTATTAAAATTTGAGAATCCAATAAGACCTGCATTTCCTCGAAACCTGCATCAATAGCGGACATCAAAACTTCTTTGAGCACCCATGATTCTTCAGCAAGTGCCCATGAAACAAACTGGCGCGAGGCAGAGCGGTGCAAAGGTCTCTCTTCCTCCAAGGTTCTAAAAATGAACCCCATACCGCAGCTTTCTGACTGTGTGCCAAGCTGCATCCACATTGCAGGTGACGTAAAGGTAGGAGGAGGAGGAGCCGCCGTCACTTGCAGTGTATGTGGTTTGCGGAGAGAGTTTTGCGCTTCTTGCCATGCCCTTGTTTCTCCTAGAGCTTTGGTGACCACTTCACTTGCTAAATACACGTGTTCGAAAAAATTTGATGGTTCCTGACTGTCCATAAGTTCCAGCAGATCCAAGTGGAGAGGGACGTAGCCGAGATTCCAGTCGGAGGGAGACTCACTAGTGACGGGATGAAGGCGAGGAAATCCAGGCACAAGACATTGTTTAAGTGAGGCTGAGCCTTGAGTGGAGGTAAATCCCAAACTTCTCTTGCAAACTGACAGCCTCTTAGAGCATGAGTGATCGTTTCAGGATTTTCACAGATCTTACATCCAGAATCGACTTGAATACCTCGACGAACAAGTTCCACTCTGACGGGGAGGGCCTCCACTGCCCCTCTCCAGAGCAGCTGTTTAATCTTGGGCATTATCCGAATATTCCAAATGTTTCTTCGCCAATTAAAGTTCCGTCGTCGCTCTAGGATGGATTCATAGACAGATAAACCGTAGCTGGAGCGAACGAAATACTCTTCGTTCTTTTGACGAAGTCATACCAGTCTGTTTGATGGGCGTGAAGAACTCACCGAAAACAATCAGATATGGTGCTTGTATTCCAGAAGTACCTTGTGGACCATTTTCCAGTTCCAAGAATGGTGCTTGAGATCAAAGATATCAGCCACTCGGAAGTCAACATGGGCGAGAGGTGGGGGGGGGGGCAAATGGTCTGAGCGGGGATTCTGTGCTGAGCTAAGGATCGCTCCAGATGCTAATGGATTCTCTGTTTCTGATCAACCAACCTAGACCTTTCCGAAGCACTTCACTCCCTGCCATGATGCTTCTCCATCCATGAGATGGATTTAAGGTCAGGGAGCATTCCATGAATTATCTAGACGGAGCAATATTTTCCCAAGAGAGCTCGAGAAGCCAGTACATGGGGGTGTGAAATAAGTCTCGCCCCTAATTTTGCGAGCATAGAGTCATTGAACATATCGATATCTCGAAATCCTTATCCTCATGCATTTTTTGGGGCCGTAAGCTTATTCCATGATACCCATGACATTTTCCAAGTGTCTGCTTTATCATCCCACCAAAATCTAGTGAGTAACAATTGGATTTTGATATATCATGGTTTTTATGATTTTTGACCATGATATAAGTCTTTTTTATAGAGTCTTTTTAGTGTCTTTGGAGTCTTCAGAGTCTTTACAAGTCGTATGTGCATTTGGAGCTTAACTGGAGATTTTGGAGCATTTTGGAGCTAAACAGGGATCAATTTCGTGAATGATGAATTGTGTGCTTTGCTTCGGTGTCGTGCGACACCACTGGTAGTGTCGCTCAACACTGATTTCAGGAATGAAGGGAAAAACGTGATTTTATCCTATTTTTGAAGGATCTCTTGGGCCCAGAAGTCTCTAATATTTACAACAAGGTCCAAAACGTGTTTTTAGTTTTTAGAAGGGTTTTCAGCCATCATTATCGATTCTGGAGAATTTTCTGAGAAAAAAATTTTGTTTTTTTAGATATCGATACCTTGAGAGCTTTTTGGGGAGACAAGTCTGAACTCTGTTCGTATTGAGAGAAGATTTTGAACCCTTGTTATTTATTCAGTGATTTCTTATTTGCAATCTATTCATTCATGTCTGTTGCTTCAATATCCATGTCTGAGTACTTAGCTTGTTAGGTTTAGGGTTCTCATAAAAGATTTCATTGAATGTTGGATTGAATGGATAGTTAGAGTTTATAATCTTATTAGTTATTCACCATAGGTTGTTCTTAAAGCTAATTCTGGACTGGTCTCCTGGAACATAGATCTTAGGTTAGTTGATTGACACGAAAGTGTAATTGAATCATCTGAAAGAACCTAGGGTGAGAAAAGTAGCTATTCACAAAGAAATTTGGTTTATATACTTTGTGAATATATCGAACTTGTGCTTAAAGCTAGTCTATGTCTTTATGATTTGCAAAGAAATTTGGAATTCTAAGATTTAGACTTAGATAACTCTCGCAACAAAAGTTGGTTAACTACAATTCCGTGATTTGAGTTCAAGAACCGCGCTTAAACCTGAACCCTAAGTAATTGATTTATCTGTATTATCTGATTTCCCGAGAAAAAACCTGGACCTAATCCTTTTCCAATCGAGCTTTACAACCGTTTTTATTGCCTTGCTGCTTTCAATTCCATTATTTCTGCTTAGCGTAATTTGAGTCTAATAGGTTTATTGAGTAAATCTCTTGTCTCTGTAGTTTGACCCATACATACTACAACTGTGCATTTGTGGTCTTGTAGGGTAGCTCTAGGGATTAAACTTTGAGTAGATCAAGTTTTGGCGCCGTTTCCGGGGACTTGATTTTTGCCACTAGACTTTTGTTCTTGATTATGACTAAGCTTTTAGTGTTGGTCGACACCACTAGTGGTGTTGGTCGACACCAATCGTTTTTATTAAATTTATTTTCATTTTACTTACGTTGTTTTCTCTCTTTGTCTTTTGTGTTTCAGGTTTATGCATACTTGCAAAACCAGAAGCAACAAGGACAATCCGCTAGTGAATCTGAATAAAAAGGAGCTACCAGAGTTGGAGCGAACAAATAGGAAAGCAAAGGAACCAGCAGTGATGGAGAACGCGATGAGATTGGTTCGTGATAGTTTGGAGAGACCAGAAGGGTCATGTGTGCGATGAAAGAGGCCAGTGACTTGGTGGAGATGGAAACATCATCCCTACACTACCTTCACCGGAGGATGTTGTTGTTGATAATGCAGCACCTGCCGCGCATGGTAACGAGAGGAATGCTGGGGCTATTCAAAACCAGGGGACCGCTGCAGTAAATCAGAACCAGGGGAACACTGCAGTAAACAAGATTGTGAGGAATCCTGCAGCTGCTCGAGGCAGAACACTTGGTGATTACAACACGCTTGAGCAGTTGTATTCAAATCGGTCTGCAATTCGTCCTCTTGCATTTCAGAGAAATGACTTTGAGCTGAAACCTGCATACTACACTCTTGTGGGTCAGCATCCTTTTCATGGTCTTTTTCATGAACATCCGATGGACCAAATTAAGAAGTTTGTGGACTTGGTTACCAGTATCAAGTGCAATAGAGTGTCCAATGACTTTCTTTTTTGTAAGCTTTTCCTTTACTCTCTTGCTGGAAAAGCAGCTTATTGGCTTAAGCAGTTGGAACCCGGATCGCTGACCACTTGGAAGGAGAGAAGAAACGCCTTTCTACATAATTTCTATGATGATGCCAGGTCTAAGGAACTGATACTATAAATCTCTACGTTCTCTCAGGGACCAACTGATGCATTCAAAGCTGATTAGGTGAGATTCAAGGCATATCAGAGAGATTGTCCACATCATGGTTTCAGTGATGTCCAACTGTTGGATATTTTCTTCAGAAGTGTTGATTGGAGGTATCAGATGGCTCTTGATGCTGCAAGCAATAGAAATTTTAACACCAGATACCTTGAAGAGGCTGTTGTGCTTATTGAATACTTGGCATCTAGTAATAGTACCAAGAAAAGCAAGCTGGGAACATGGATGGATTGCAGATTGCTGAAATGAAGGCTAAGCTAGACAAATATTTAACAAACGGATAACGGATATCCGGTTTCTAAATTTTCTATTATCCGGATCCGTATCCGAAATAAACGAATACTTACTTTTACTATCCGGATCCGGATCCGAACTACACGGATATTCGGTTCTTACGGATCGGATAGGACCGGATACCGGATCGGATACTGGATACCGGATAATAATTCCAGCCCTACCTAGGGGTGAATTCATTCATTCACCCCTTTTTATTTTAGCCAATGAAAATCTGCCATATAATAAAATCAATTAAGGTAATTTACCAAATAACATAATTTTAAATATTTTATTTCTTAATGGAAAAAACTAAACTTTAATTTGGAAATAGTGAATCCAAACGTAATTCTAAATTTATGTAGAATCATTTTACATAATTATTTGTTTATTTTCGAAATTTTAAATAAAGAAAAACTAAACCCTAAATTGGAAATAGTGAACTCAAACATAATATTAAAGTGTATGTAGAATTATTTTTAAATAATTATTTGTTTATTTTCAGAATTTTAAATGAAGAAAAACTAAACCCTAAATTAAAAATAGTGAACCCAAACATAATATTATATTTATTTTTTAATAAAAAAATACTAAACCTTAATTTAAAAATAATGAACTCAAGCATAATATTAAAATTTATGTAGAATTATTTTTAGTAAAATTATATTTTTACATAATTATTTGTTTTATTTTTGTAATTTTAATGAAGAAAAATTAAACTTTAAATTGGAAATACTGAACCCAAACATAATATTAAATTTTATTTATATTTATTTTTAGTAAATATGGGGTTTAGGGTTTAGGGTTTAGGGTTTAGATAATTATTTATTTTATTTCAAAATTTTAAGCCCTAATCTCTAAATTCTAATCTCTAAATTTTAATCTTTAAATGATAAATTCTAATTTTTATATATATTAATTATTTATTTTTATTTATTTTTTAATAAAATATTTGATTGAGTATTTGACCTTTAAATATTAATTTTGTATTTTTATGAAAAAATAATATTACATGGCAGATTTTCATTGGCTATAAGAATTTTCAGAGAATAAAATAAATTAATAATTTCAGTAAATATTAACTTTAATTGTGGTGTTGGCAAGTGTATTTTTATCCTTTCTCTTTAACTTTCTCTTTAACATACTTTATATAATATGTATGAATATTATTTGATTCTTTTTTTAAGCAGTACCGATACATTTGATTAAATGATTCCTTTATGGACGCATAGTTATGTTTAAAAATTACAACAACATGTCGCTATAATACAAAAGCCAGGGCAATACCAATTTTCATAACAATAACGATTGCATTCGTCCCTCCCCCTCTCTCCCCTTTCACATTTTTTTTTAGCGCTGCAAAACACCTTTTGGTCTCTTTCATCACCTATTTATTAATTAAATTCATTAAAAGTTGGGGGTATAAGAATTAAAAAATAACTAAATCCATAATAAAAAAAATTGGGGGTAAGAAGAATTAATCAAATAAATAATACCTGGACTAAGTGCAGTTTTTGTATGACTATGAACATCAGATATGACGAAGAAGCAAATGAAAACAAAAACAACTAAATGCTTTAGGGTGATAGCCATTTTTCTTGATACTCTTACTTGGACTAATACTGTATATATATAGTAGCAGAAACATACATTAAAAATGTTTGTTTTTTCCAGTTAAAGATGAAAAATAAAGGGAGAGATTTGTTTTTAATAAAAAAAATTAATACTATCTATAAATATTTATTGAAAAATATTTATTGATCTTTGACCAAGATTGAATACCTTTTATATATATTTTTTTAAAAGAAAATTATTTACTTGGACTAATAATGTAAAGTATGCTTATTTAAAAGATTTTCTTTTCTTTACCAATTTGTAATTTATTTAAATTATCAATTTTTATTTTTCATTTTCCTTATATAATATGGGTTTTTTATTTTCTTCTAATATTTTTAATCTAAAAAGAACTTTTTCTGTTTTTTAGTTTCTTGCTAACTAAAATACAATTTTTTAATTTTTCTTATTGTAATTTTTTCTTTTACTTTTTAAAATTAGTAACTAAGTATAAAATTTTATTTTTTAAATAAATTTGTAAAAATAAAATTAAATATGTGTTAAATAGAGATCATTTAACTAGACACATGTTATGATCAAACGAGTTGAATTTGAATTCTATTTTAAGATAATAAGATAATAATAAGATAAGACACGTACCATTATAAGCTAAGTTATTAACTTAATTTATTTTTTGGATAAAATGTATCTTAATTATTTAAACTAGATTTATGATCTGTGGAAGCAGCCATCCTTTGAAGAAAGCATTTTTTTTTATTATACTCTTTTTTCATCTTCATATATTATAGTTTGTTATTTATCTATTTTCTCATCTTCAATATTTTTTTTCTTTATAATTTTTGAAATTCTTCTTCAACAGCTTTGTTTTTTTTTTCCTCTTTTTATGTATCTTTCTTTTTTATCTTCCTCTTCATCTTTTTTTTTTAAATTCAGTTTTTTTCTTTCTATTTTTTTCATCTCTTTTTCTAATTTTTGGTCTCTTATTTTTACTTATTTCATATATGTATTTTTTCTCATATACTTCATCTTCACCTGCGTAGTTTTGTTTTTTTTCATCTGAATTTCTTTTCTATATTAGAAGTTAGAACTGAAAAAAATACATGATAAGATCCAGATCAATGCAATCAAAAGACAGCAAGCAAAGGAAATACATCTAAGAACAATGGCTTTCCTGAACAAAGAGCTCTTGTAACCAAAAAGGATAGCCTACGGCTGCATAAGATTGATGACGATCCTCGATCGTAACACTTCAAGTTTGCTCCTTTGTTAGTTTCCATGACTTCAAGAAAAATATCCCACACAGGAATCAGATCTAAAACTTTCAATAGTTCAGAAGAATAAAACCTCAAGGACGGCCAAGTAGGAGGACGTGTGATTGCTCCAACTAACTTAGCTGAGTCACTTGCAAATGAGATTTTTCCCATCTTTAAACTAGCCATGCTATTGATTTCCCATCTCTAACAGTGAAAAATTGCATCCCGAGCACTGTTAATATTAGCAAAAGACATTCTACTATGTTTTGAAACAACTCCATTATCGTCTCTTAAACCCCAAGAAGCACCCGAGATTTTTCTTTTTTTTTATCCCACAAGTGTCCAATGTTGCATTTGACCCAAGAAGAAGGAGGTGGATTCCATCTTTTAATCCTAGTTCTGGCTTCCATTTTGAGGCTAACATCTTCCAAATCATCCAAAGCCTGGGCTTGGAACCATTGATCCTTTGGACAAGCTTCTTCCAATCTCCTTTGGTATACCAATGTTTTTACCACCTCATAAGAGATAGAAGATATTCAGGTATATTGACTCATCATCAAAACCCTTTAGAGGAAAAAGGAAACTTGATTCAGCCCAGATCTGTATCGCCGTTGTACACGTGAAAAGTACATGATTCACAGATTCCCCTTCATTTCCACAAATTTGACATCGAAAATCAGAAGACATACCCCTTTGAATAATATAGCCAGCCACCGGAATAGCCGCACTCACCACTTTCCAAATGAAGATCTTAATCTTGGTCGGTGCTTTGATTTTCCAAATCAGGTTTTTGATTTCAGTTGTAGATGGTTGCATAGATGCATTGAGAAAAACCCCAGAGTTCTTCAGATTATAAGCTAGCCTATATCCGGAGCTAACTGAGTAATCACTGCCTTTGTTGTGTCTCCAGCACCAAAAATCATTAGAGGAGGTAACTGATAAAACCGGATTTTGACCATTTTTATGAATCGTTTTAATATCTTATGCAGGTGTTTTAACTCTGTTTTCAATGGTTTTTTAAGTGATTTTTATGTTTTATAGTTTTAAAAGACTTTTCAGAAAACTTGGACAAAAAATGTGCAATTTGGAACAAATGAGCAATTTTGGATAAATGCAGACCGTCAGAAGTATGACACTCGATGGAGACCTTCTCACCGTCTGATCATCCCCAAAATTTGAGAAAACATATAGGGGACAACCATCTTTCTAATGCAATTGGTTTGGAGACAATCCAACGGTTAGATCTTTAAATATTCCCGATGCACTAAAGACAGCAAATGCAGTCTCGAATGAGAGCATAGGCCGCAACCGCGGCGAGACTATGATTCCCCGCGGTCAGGACCACCGCGACTGTGGCCAGACAACGTTGACGTCCGAAAGTAACCTATTTCAAGCCCAAGTTCAGCCCACTACTTATTCTTCAAACTTTAGACGTTTCCAACGAATTAGAAGGCTATAAATACTCGTTTTAGGTCATTCTAATGACCAAGTCGTGGAGAGAGAGCAGAGAAGAGCCGCATATCTCGGAGTTGCCGAAGGAGCCACCATCGATCTCCATCTTCATCCTCGTTCTTTGTTCTTTACCTTTCTCTTATTTAATTTCCAGCAAACTACAATACTTCTGTGATGTTTTTATACACTATGATTGAGTAATTCCCTTGTTGGGTTTTAAGAGATTTTTCAAAGGGATTCATGGATTGATTTCTGGTTTGTTAGATTAGGGTTTATCTTTAGAGTTCTTCATCTAAATTTGTGTTTCGTTTATGTGGCTTGGATCGATCATCTAGCTACTGCGATTAGGTTGATTTACTCACCGAAAGTGTTGTTAAATCGATTAACCCTATTTAGATGAACAAATTCTCTTAAACGGCGTGAGTCGATCTAAAGCGTTTTGTGAAATTATCAAACTAATTTGTCTAGACATTTAGAGAACTTAATGGGAATTTAAT